TGCTTGGGGCATTTAGGGGTGGCCAGTGAGCAGGTTTCTCCATGGCCTCCCTTGTGCAAGGGCAGCTCCCTGGGGATGTGTCCGCAAGGTCTGCAATTTGTAAGCCAAGGAAATATTTCTGATAATCCATAACTTGCCTAATATGGACTCCCCATGCAAAAATGGTTGTTTGTCTTCAGAGAAATGTTTTTGGAGGGCTATTTTTGTGGTAAGTCACTTGATGTTACTGATCCTCATTAGAATAGAAAAGTACACGTGCTTTCCCTCCAGGAGTATGTAAGTGTTGGAATTTCTAACATTAGAAATGATTGAAACTGAGTAGTTTGAAATAGCAATTTTTCCTATATCTGACATTTAAAAGATGACAGCTTTCTTTCCCATGCCCATCCTCATTATTTATCAGAACTTACGGTGTAATTTACAGCTGTAGCAAATAAAATTGAAAGCCTGACTCCTTTCAGACCACTGCCTCCCTTCTCCTCCGCCTGCTGCAGTTCCAGCCTTTCCCAAACACCTGCACTGCCACCTTCTGCCTGTCCTGCAGATCACAGCTGAATTTCCACCACGGTTTTCTTTTCTCATCCTGCCTGATACTATGCATGTCGGAGGAAAACTTGGAATACAAAGAAGAAACTGTGTGTGCACATACAGAGGCAAGATGGTCTATAAATTGATTTTTGTTTCTAGCTGGTCTGTATTACAGACGGCGATTGCATAATTCCAGCTTTGATTTAGAGGAAGGGAACCCTACAGTGTTGCTCCCCATGACCCAAAAAACTAAAATACTTTGTTCAGCCACTTCAAGCCAACATAGTGGCTAGTGATTAGCCACCAGTGTTTTGAAAGGTTTGCTCAACAACCTGGTTGATGCAGGCAGCATCTGAAATAACCAAAAGTTTCGACCATCAGTTGGTATAAATGAGGATTTCCTACTTGACTTTGGAGAAGCTACCCTGATTCATACCCAGTGATGATGTGTTTCAAGTTATCCTATGAACTGTGCTAGTTGCGTCTGCTTCCACTGTGGCAAAGGAAAAGGAAACAACTGGTGCATGTCTATGGCTTATAGATGGATGAAAAATGTCCCTTATTTCTTTCCTTCTCGTTGAAATATTAGTCAAATACAAAATCGATTTGAGAAAAAAGAAAAGCACCGAAAAGCTAAGCAAACCCAGCCGTACTTTAAACCCTCCCATATTGCTCATTTGAAATAATTCTTGGTATTCTTCCTTTCCTGACTAAGGAAGAGGTGCCGAAGTCACATTCTATTTAGGAAAATAAATGTTCTCAGTGAACATGCTAATTCCTGCAGCAGCCAGCCTCACACCGAGTGGCACTTCCAAGCAGGAGCAGAGTCCCTAGCCCCAGCTCTGCGAACCTTTGAGAGAGAGATGGGCTCACCACTGTCTCACAGAAAGTGCCAGAGCAATTATTGAATGTCTAAAACCCAACCTTTAACAGAAAGCCAGTTCCTGCAGCCTTGAGAGACTTGATGCATGCAAGAAAAGGTTGGAAAAATTTCCCCCGCATTGTAAACATCATTTCCCTCAACATACCGCAGCATGGCTAAGGGAACAGTGGCATCTGGTGTTCGCTGAGCTCTCTTACAGCCACCGCTTCCCAGGCAGGTGCTAGCAGGCTTCAGCTGGGCATGGGCAGGATTTGGCTCCCCACATGCAGGTATCTAGTGGACCTGAGACCTGGAGGCTGTCAAAGACATCTGTACAAGTGTCCAGGCGTTGTACGGGCCATAGGGGACACTCAAGCCCATCCGCATGGCAGCTAGAGGTCTGGATGGTGCATCAAACGAGAGAAACCCAAACTTGCTTCTAGTGGAGAAGGTAATTGCTCTTGTTGAGGGATGAATTCCCCCCACCCAGCACCATGGTGGTGATGCAGTATGACCAGGGAGCTTCTGACTTGGATGCTGTTTGAGATTTATGTAGTTTCTGAAACTTTTATTCCACCTTTCTCAGTGGAATGTGCTGCCTTCTGAGGTGCTCGGGTCCATTTGGTGAGGCAGCCTGCCCACCCCGAGGCCTATGACAGCTCCAGGGTGTGATGCTCAACTGTGTGTGTCTGACTTGTTTTTACCCTCTGAACCTCTCCTCAATCTCACGTTCTCAGTTTGAGATACAAAATGCAAGTGCTGCCCAGGAGCCTTTTCCCTTGCCAGTGATTTTAACTTACCCAAACTCTGGAATGAGTTTCAGTGGGAGCCTCTTTCCCCATCTTTGTTCTTGCCATCAAACAGGATAGTTCCACCATATCTGCTGTATAGACATGGGTAACTTTGCTGCTGCTAGAGCCTAATACATCTTTTAAACACCTCTGGCAGGCCAGTGTCGGAATTTTATGGTGAGTGTGTGCCATCTCTGGGTTCTGGGTGGAAGGTGGTCTTCTGCTGGTCCCTAAGACACAGCCAATGGCTTGCTTATAGACAAACTGAGCTGTGTTTCCTTTTCCTGGCAGAAGAGGAAGCCCAAACCTGAGCAAAACAAAAGTTTAAGATGTGCGTCTCCCTGGTAATTTTGATGCAAACTAGAAAAAGGCACATTACTCGCTGCTTTTTGCTAACTGAAATACGGTTTATCCATCTTCTACCTCAAGTGCATGAATGACTGGTCATTTCCTATTGAGATGAAAAGAATGACAACCTTGAGCTTGGACTTCTATGGAAAAAATTTCTGCTGGTTTCTGTAATTTTTCAAGTTGCAGATTTTTTTTAGAAGTTCTGCTTCCTTATACTTAACCAAAGGCCGTTTTGCACTATTTGCAGGTTGCCCCAAGACCAGTTTTCTCGGAGTTCTGGGACTGAAAGACCTTTTTCTGTTCATGTTGTGATTGGTACATAATCTGATGCACAAGCTCCTGAGCCTGGTTACTCCTCCTGCCTCCGCCCTGATCCGATGCTTCTGTT